TATTTCGCGAACTTTTTGATAACGCTTAAATTCGTACTAGTAGGTACTAAAACAAGGTCATTCACGAGTATCGATTTTATGTTTCTTTGTGTTTTATTGGTGATAATTAAAATTTTAAGAGATAATATAATTTATCTGTGGCAAACTTACAAACTCTTAATTTTTAACTTTGATGGTGCTCATTTTTACCTGGAATCAAAGAGTTAAAAAAAAATTTATATCAATACGTAAACTATTTAACAACTGTTCGATAATAATACTAAATATTTACATTTCCAATAAATTTCCCCTATGATTCTTTACAAAATAAAATGCAGTATATTTTCTCATGAACTACATTAGGTATGTATCACGAATAAGCATGAATATCTCCATTGTTACGTCATAATACCGCTCTTGACGTCAAAAAATATAGTGCACACTGTTTTATTTTAAAAATGACAGCGTAAATTTATGGCAAGTCATCAGAAAAGTAATGTAAATATAAGAAATGAATTTAATTTTTTGAAGATTCATGAGGTATATGAATTACAACGCTTCACGCCGGCATATTTATCATGAAGCGCTAACGCGCTTCATGAAATATGCCGGCGTGATGCGTCGTAGTTCATAACCTCATGAATCTTCAAAAATTAAATTCATTTCTTAAATAAATATACTTCAGGCCACACTATAACACCTTTCCTCTTTTGAAAGTGTTCATATTATTTGAAATATTTTGCAAACTGTAATTCTCTTCTACATTTAAAGATTGTTATGCCCCTCCATATTAAGAAGAGGTCTGGAAAACAAGATTCTGTGCTAAAAATAGACCACGTGCTACTATCCATGAACTACTTTCATGGTTCTTTACACTCTTTTTGAAGACAACGGTACCTTGTTTTCAACTTGAAATTATCATTTAAAAGTGCAAAATTTAGACATTTTCTCAACAAATGGTTGTAGAGAGAACATTAATGCACAGTTTGCTTATTTTTTTGGATTTTTTAAGGCTCTGCTGAATTCTGTAGCTGCGCAGTTCTAAGGAGCATATCAAAAGCATTTTTCTGCAAAAGTATAGATTATATATGCACAACATGCATTCGGTTATGCATATTTATTGTATCTTTATCAAAAAGACTTAAAATTTGATCAAAATATAATGTATTTTAGCCATTTGAAGAAATGTTTACATTTTGCTCTCACTGCACTAAAAGTGACCGTACATCCCCCTTAAGCATTTACATTTAATAAAAAAAAATAATAAAATTACTACATTTTTATCACTAAAAACTTAATTTGCTTTACCGTAAAATTAACAAAATATTTCATTTTCTATATCACCAAATTTAGCAAAATGTTTTATTTGCTTTGCCATTAAAATTTACAAGTAATTTATTGAAGTAATAAACAAAATGTTATCAGAATATGGGAAGAGAGAAAAGAAGAATAACTCCCATCTGTAGTTTTTATCTGAAAAAAAAAATCTTATTTGATCTCGTAGACATTTTGAACAGTTGTAATATAGTTGTACCCTATGCATGTTCTGCCAATGCAACTGTTACAAAGAACAAGATATATATTAAGTTAATCAGGGTCCTTTCTAGTCTCCTTTGGAATATTTTAGAACAAAGTAAAACTGTCGCCAAATTTTTGCGACTAACGCTTTTGGGAGAAAGGCTTTTTGGTATTTAAGACCGAAACTTTTTTTTTCAAAATGGTTATACCTGTATCTGCTTTGTTCTCAAAAAGAATATGCGAGAACGAAATTTTCGTGAGCTGACGTCTCGCGTATTTAAGCAAAATTTAAGTTCTTAAGCAGCAAATGAAAATTTATGTTTATGTTCACTTGATTAGAAAAAAATCCATTAAGATCTTTACAAAGATACATAGCAGGTTCCAGTATTTATTCTACCACAGTGACTGCAACCCTAATTTCATTACACCTCACTAACATACTAACAGCAGTGAAGAAGAAACTTCATCAGTACAATTCAGTATTAATTTCGAGAAGAATTTTATACATGAACTTTTTGGAGAAAACGGACAGTATTCAAGATCAAAAGTAAAAAAAAATACAAAAAAAGAGTAGAGCAAACAAGGACCTCCAAATCAGAGGTGGAATCATGTGCCAAGGAGGAGTGAGAATCCCCTGCCGACCGGTCAATTAGTATGAGAAACATCAGCATTTGACTCAAAGAAAAATTGTATTTGCTGACAAGGTCATTGTTTCGACCATAGATCCTACGAAATGATTACTTTAAACGAGATTGCTGATATTCTTGTTTCATCAACTTATTTATCAATAATTTACCTCGTTTTAGAAATTGTTCATACGTAGAGCATGCTCTTGCGTATCGAATCAATTGAGAGATATAAATCCCGTATGCAGGTGATGAAAGTATATTGCTGCATACATGTAAGCAAGGGTAAATGACAGTTGAAAAGTTAAAGTCATCATGTTTATCACGATTAAAGCTTGGTTGTTAGATTACCATTAACGTCAAAAATTCCCCACGATAAATTGGAGTTCCTGAAGACATTTTGAAATCATAGACAGCTGCCTTTTCAATTAACAAAATCTCATAAATATAGCTTCCTTTTAATTACATGGTCCTTTGAAAATTTGTTTTGTTAAAAAGAATCTGATTGTACGCACAAATACATTGACGTTGATATTAAAAAGATGCTTGAGTTTCTTATTAACAATATCTATATAGATATTTTTAAATCAGGTCTTCCAACAATCTGTTGGAATTCCCACTGGTACCTAATTGCACCCCATTATAAGCAGACCTGTTTTGATTTCATATGAAGCAGAATTTATTCAAATATTGCTATATGAGAAGAAGAAAACACTTGCTCTGGCCATCAACTTGACATTTAGTTTATCAACGATATATTATCTATTATTAACAATATTAACTTTCATTCATATTACGACTTGATACATCCCAGTCAGCTTGAAAAAACAAAACAAAACAATATACCACAAATTCTGACACATCTGGTGTGTTCAAGGATCAGGTGTTTGTCTGGTTCACGATTTATCTTCTTTAAATTACTGCATTTATAAAATTGATCACTGATCTTTATCTTCAGATTTTACATTATAATAATAATTTTATTATTTTTATTAAAAAGTGTCACCAAGAAATGATGTTCTATGGTGTAACGACAAACCAGAACTCTCATCTCTTGTTTTATACAGACGATTTTTGTAAGCAATGCCGTATACTTCCTCATTTGATTGTTTTAAATATATTAGTCAAAATTTCTAAGTCCCCAGGCAAGTTTTTGCTTTACACCACTCTTATATTGAATTATTTAAACAGTATAATTTGATAAGTATACAGGACAATAAAGTAGCAAAATAATTTTTCTCAATTAATTTATTTCATTGAAGCGCTTTAACACAATATGCAGAAACGTTAAGGCACCCTAGAATTAAAATTCACAACTTTTAATACTGCATTATTCTCCATTCAAACGAATTCACAGCAAGACAACCGTTCCTCAAAGAGTTCACACTATTTAAGAAAATTTCTTTTATTGAATGTTTTACCATGTGGAGACTAGGTCGTCCTCTAGTTCCGCTAGATTCTGCTGCTGGAAAAGCTGTCTCACACTCCGGTCTATCTTCTTCCATACATGCTAATTAGGGTTGAGATTAGGATGATAAGGGGACTCTACCTTATCAACAATAGTTACATAACGTCTTCTTACATGTATTCCCCATTCCTCCACTTTGACATTGAAGGGAGGGCACTTCCGGTTCCGGTTCCATTGATTTTTCCGGATAAACTCTAGGATGATTTTGTGATGTTTGTTGAAAATCTAGCGATTTCTAACAATTAAAAGGAATTCAGGTACGCTTTGTAGGTTTTTCGGGCGGTAATTATAAAGGTTTTAAGTAAAATAAAGTCATACAGCGAAAGGAAACAGAACTTTCGTTACCTACCACCAGCTTGGGCCATTTCAACTTCACTTTCACATTGTTGTGTGGACATACACTGCATTTTATTCAATCTTTTTTCTGTTTTTCGTCATCAACTAAAGATGGAGAAAACATGGAAGTAAAAAAAAATATGAAGAATACACCCGAAAAACATATGGAACTCGAACTTCATGCTTTTTAACTAAAACGGTCACGGTCGAGTAATTACACATTCGATTAGATCATCATCTACAATTTTTTTGGCTTTGACAGGTAAATATTGCAAATTAAAGGGAAATTTGTAAGCAACTAGTAAATTGAAGTTAACGTTTTTAACTTTTTGAAAATATAAAAGTGGGGACTTAGATATTTTGACAAGTATATATTTATATGGCAGATGGGTAGCTATCTAAATTTATTCGTTTCCGATTGTGTAGGTCAATTATCAAATTCAAAATTAATTTCAATTTTTGTAGAGTTAGATTTATTAGTGCTAATTTACACTTGGCCTTTTTTCAAAAAATTTAAATCCATGTAATTTATTTACATCTATATTGATAGGTTCATGTGAACTGAAGAGAAAAAAAAATAATTTTAATCCATTTTATAAATTCATTTTTAAAAAGTTAGAAACTTAACTTGAATTACAAATTAGAAAAAAAAAACATTTTTGTCTGGATAGATCATTTAAGATATAAATTAAAGCAGCTATTAATGCAAATCAAACAGACATGTGTATGATAGATCTCTATACATGTTTATTCTTAAATGAATGATATTTATTTAAAAATATATGGATATTGTTGTACATGCATATTCAACAATTGTATTTAACTGACATTTCTAATAAGCCTTTTGTGATACAGGTCAAAGTACAATTTTCTCTCACTTAAAACTTAATTTTTAAATAGATATTACACAGGAATATTTATGTTAATCAATTCAATACGGAAATGCCAATTTCCAAAAGTCTTCTACTTACAAAATTCAAACACGGAAGTTGTATACAATCATTTGGTATCATTATAAATAATTTATAATAGAATAAATGCGGATAAGTCCTAAATTTTCTTTTTTTCATACAATGTTTAAAAAGGCTGTGAGCATACAAATCACATCGGTGCTTTGGTTGTTGTATATCACCTATGGAGGTGAGTTGTCTTGGTTATCATTCTTCTGAAAATCACGAAAAAATAACTGGGTTTCTCAATATTTAGTTCTGATGTGTTTTAGTTAATATTTTCAAAAAAGGCATAATTATTCATACTTTGAACCCTGCAACTTAGTTTCTTTGTTTTCTTTGTGTAATAATATTTGTATTGTTGGTTGAAACTCTATATAAATATATGACGTTTGCCGTTCAGATTGTTTTTAAAAAACACAGAAAAAGTAATGGTTCATAATATCAAAAGTACTTGTACACACTGTTTTGTTTTGTTTTTGACTAGAAACACAATCTCTGAAGACTGAGGATACGTTTATAAATGGGACCTTGGAGGTTTCATGGCATCAAAATGATAAATCGTCTATACTTGCGTCACATGTAATGTTTACGGGAGATTCTCGACTAATTCAACCTTGGATACAAGTTAAAGATGCAAAATTGTCGATCAAGGATGCTTTGAACTACAGCAGTATCCGCCTGAGTATTTTGACTAAATACAGAAATTCTTCCTTTTCTGAATTCCAGTTCAACATTCAAGGTACATTTTTTCCCTTCAGTATACATATACGTTGTCATTATCTTATATATATCCATTCATCATTGATCACCCATTAAAATCTCAAATAGGTGGATATAATAAAGTTTTAATACAATAATATATGATTTTAGTCATGAAAAATATTTAAATGCTCTCTTATACATTTATACATTTATTTTTACTAGACGGTCTTCTGATTGATGTTTAATTTTAAAATATTTACATTAAGAATAAAAACTTCTTGAGAGCAAACCACTTCTAAATCAATATTTCACCAGGAACAAAAATTTAAGTATTTAGTATTAAAAATCTTTTTGTTTCATTTTGAACGCTTTTAATTGAAAGAAAATATTGTAGGTGGTTTTTTTTTATGTTATTTATGGTACTATCTCTATTATGTAGAACGACCTGAGGAAGTAGACCTTTGATGTTTCGCGGTCCGTCTTTGCTCTGCTCTAACTTTGTCTTGCTTAATGGATTTTTGATCTTGAATACTGTTCGTTATCTCCGCATATTTCACAAGAACAGCTTATACTCAAACGACCATATCTGCTTTCTTGTTCCAGAGTATAAAGCTTTATACTATACATATGAAAAAAGCATTACTGTCTGTTTAAAACATTTTTAAATTGAACCTATTTTTGTGAAATTTCAGTGCGGAAAGTGTTCTTAAAGGAAGGAGAAACAGGGATTATATCTTGGAATATTGCTGCATTTCCAAAGACTGGAGTATACGCTATTTTCCATTCAGAAATACAAATCCTTGCAGTGGACATTCACAGGAAGATTAGTACCATTGATTCTCAAAAATACACGTATCTAAGTAAACCAATAAATTCAAAAAACATAATTTTTCAAATAAGAAATATCACCCAACATGATGAAGGCATCTACACAGGCGGTACGTCAAGTGCTATAGCCGCTAAGGGAAATAGGATACATGCTATTGTGTATGGTAAATAATAGATTAAATTAGATTTATAAGCTGACAAAATCTTCTGGTTTCAAACAAATCTTACCAACTCATTCAATTTTCTGCTTTTTTATTTTTTTAAAGTCTTTTTTTTTAAAGTATGTTTTTTCAAAAGTACTTCATTTGGATATTTGTATGGAAACATTTTAGGCAAGCCTAGGAAACCAACTGTTACTGGACAGAGTGTTGTAAAAGTGGGTGACTACGTAACATTGGAATGTTGCAGCAAATCCACTTCTACACCAAAATACTATAAGCTTTTTCCCGCCATTACTTATGAGTGGTATAAGAACAATAATTTTATCAAATCAGGAAAAATATTAAGGCTCATTGTAGAAGAAAGCTTGTTCTTGGACGTAATCACTTGTAAAGCCAAGGAGATACTATATTCGGATCCAAGTGATACGGTGCAAATTCAGAAATCAAATTGTAAGTTAGAATCACTTTTTAAAGTCTAATAGATTATAAAAATTCATTGTATACATTTTTAATTTGTAATTCTTTAGGCTCAAAGAAGAACGAAATAAATTCAAAATTTATGAACGGCTCTGTCGTATTCACATGGCCCAGACAAACAGTGGGTGTAGAGGAGCAGGTGTTTGTGACCCTGAATAGGAATCAGATGATACCGTGGACTGATGTTCATAATCAGGAATATGTTCTTAAGAACTGTTTGAAGCATTCTCCTGTAGAAGTTGATGTTAAATTTCTGTTTAAAACAGACGAGTATGACATTTGCCGTAGTTTGTTTATGAACATACGTAAGTTGAATCTTCAAAGATAATCTTCTTTCCTTCTTATACATCATTTTTTTAAAATATTTTTTTAAACATTTCATATCCTTAATTGTTAATACAAGCTAGGTTTAACCAAACTATTTTTCATTTGGGGATATCATTAAAAATATATCTTGCAAACAATTATGGTTGGAAAAAATGCCTATCACTTTATACAATAATTTGGAACAGGAAACTGTCATTTTGTAATAAGTATTCATTTGATATTTAAAAAATCTCTAAGGGGATCCTAATTTGTAAATTTGTATAATTATCATTTCCTATGGAATATGTGTTGATGACAGATGAATAAAGAAAACAACAACATTCTGTCTAATTAATGAGCCAATAAATGGTCTTGAATCTGTTCAAGACATTTTTAAAGGTTTATTCCACTGTTAAACATTGAAGAGTGTCCAGCTTTCATCTAAATAATTAAATAATGTTCTGCTGAAACAAATTAAAGGAATTTCTCAAATGAACATGGATGACCTTGACTTTTTTTCAGCTGATATATTGATTGCCAAAGAAGGACAAAACGTATCCCTTCATTGGACAATATCGCAGTTCCCTTCCTCCGGGTTATACTCCATTTTTCATGAAGGTCGTTTGCTTATAAAAATAACTGATTCGGGGGCAACCAGCATTCACAGCTATAAATATATCTACAAAAGCATCCCTGTTCATTCTCCAAACATCAAATTCGCTGTTAATAACTTAGCTGTCACAGACGCTGGACATTACGTTGGTGGGGTATCTAGTTCCAGCGCACAGAGCACAAAGGGAATTCTGCTGATTGTTGCAGGTAATCATAATCAAAGCATCTTCAAATAAATTCTACAGTACTTCTCCACAGGCACCTGACGTTACTTATTTTTATTTTAATAAAAAAATATACTCCCTACCAAATAATAAACAAGGTACACATCGTGTGACATCTTGAATTGTTCTAGGTCGGTCACATCCACTTGTATATTTGTTTATTAGGTAGGGAGAATATTTTATTAAAAGAAAAATAAAGTAACGCCGGATGCCTGTGTACTTCTCCGATGTAGGAAATTTAATAGTTTAGTTTTATCTTGTTTGGCGACGACAAAAGATGGCATGCTTTGGATAAGGTACCATAAGTCGTATCAATAGGATAAAACTTTTTCTGCTTGAACCTTGCAATTGACATACCGGTATAATATGCAAGTAAATGTATTGATGTGTTTGATCTTGATTAAGAAACTTTTGATTTTACTGCAGAATTTCTCTCTTACAAATATATATGAAAACGGGTATATGATGAAACTTAAAATCATACCGTTTTATAGTATATAACTATTTATATTGTTTTAGGTAAACCTTCCACGCCAATAATTAAAGCAAAACAAGATGCTGAGTACGGCAAGGCGATCACTCTAACTTGTCTTTCTTCGTCCACTTCGGCCCCACAATACTACAGGGACCTGCTAACTTGGTCTTATACTTGGTACAGAAATGGATCAATGGTTCGACGTGGATCGACATATGCGTTTACTATTAATAGGATTAATATGTACGATGACATTAATTGTCGAGCTAAAGAAGTTATCGAATCAAATAGCAGCAACACCTACAAAATAAGACTCATAAAATGTAAGTCGTTAGCAAATAGCAAACAATTAAACAAATGGGAATAAAGGACTTCAGGAAGATTACATTCATAATTTATTTGATACTTTATTACAGTATTTTTAATATAAATACTGTCCCTAAGGAAATAGCTTTTTAATACTAAACTACCTTTCCATATTTTCTTTACACTTTCCAAGTTGTGACTTTCATAAATCATATTTATTCTATCCTGTTTTGGATATACAATAAAAGTTTGCATTGAGGAAATTTGAAATGGTATTCACATACAATTCTGCAATTTACAAAGCATTGCAATAATGTAGGTGAGATAAAAATGGAACAATAACAAAAACATTTGATTTAGGAATTTCAATATTATAATCTTATCAACAATAAAGCTATATCCTCTTCAAATTTGAAACATGAAAATTTATCAATTTGTGCTTCGGAACATAATGTTTTAAGTGGAAGAATGAACCAAACCTTAAAAGGATGATATTGAAATTATAAAAACAGTTTGGACAAATAAAAAAACAATTGTTCGTACTCCATTACATGAAGTTATTTTACTGTATTATTGAATATAAAATGCATATTAGGTGTGCAGTATTAACATAAGGATAAGATTTTTTCCAGCTATTCCTGCACCACCAGTTGTCCATTTGATCTCGATGATAAACCCTACAACAATGAAGGTATCCTGGAGGTCGGAGTATAACGGAGGGTATACTCAGTATTTTCTAATATACCAGTGGAACAGCTCTCTTTGGGAGGTTGTGGCAAATATCAGCGACTCCAATTCAACCGTTCACACCGCGGAGGTTCCGACCGGTGTTCGTGGTGAGCATGATGTGGCTATTATCGCCTGTAACAAGATTGGCTGCACCATGCCTGCTAAACTTGAAAGAGGTATGTAAATGTGTTTTAATTATATTATTTAAGAAATTTTAAGAAATCGTTTACAAGCCAAATGACTCGTATTTCTTTATTTGTGTGTTCCGGGATGTGAATATGGACTTCAGGTATATTGCATTTATGTGAAATCAAACCTGCCCACTCATTAAGCCGGATTTATCATCAAAGTTACATGTACTGCACCCAGCCGCCCACCGTCTGCCTGTTACGCGGGGTGTTTCTTGTATGGTCGTGTTTTGCTTTAATGTTTTTTTTTTTCATTTCATTTTATAAAATTATCATTTATTTTCAACTAATCATCAAAAGCAAATGGTGATCCAAGTTTGTTCACAAGAAGTAAAATCATTTCTTCCAGGAATGATCAGCATTGGAAATGAGGAAAATGGCTTGGGGTCATTCAAAAAATATTTCCCCAAGAAACACTTTCATTTTTTGTACATATTTATGGAGAAATGATTTTTTACAAGCGTCATTATTATTAAAATATATAACATCGAGCAAATATGATATAATCTTCATATTGATCAGCATTATATTGTGGTTATTTCGTGACATTGGACCAAGACAATAACAGAAACAAACTTGATCAGATTAACCCCAGTAAAAGGTTTACGAAGTCTGAAAATACAGTCAATAAAAAGAAGACTTTATTTGTTTTGGCGTGCTTGTCATGGCCATTTAATAATAAATTAGATATAACACAATGTATGCGCCGATCATTATGATTATATGGCAGCATAGGTAAATGAATATAGATGATGAGCAAGAGAAATACCACCTTGATCCAAGGAGTCTGGAAAAAACAGTACCCCCCGGAGACAGCATTCTTTGCAAAATTATGCCTAACAAAGTCAATAGCCACACGCAACTGGAACATTGAAGGTCCGCAAAGCACATCAACATCGAAGGTCCGCAAAGCACATCAACAAGCTGGTGGATCCTATTCAAGATTCGATCCATGCCATGACGCTGAAACGAGAAATTAAAAGAAAACGAAAAAACAACCGGAAAAAAAAACAGTTGTAATGAAAATGCATTAGAAGAATGGGAGAGGTGCTAAAGGGGGATAAAATATAAAATTAAGGGGAGGGAGGGTGGGTTTTAAAAAATCTTTGCGTCTGCTTCGTTCGATTTACAGATTCAAAAGGAATATTCTAGATGACATGCGCATACAAGAAATATCAAGAATTTTTTAAGCACCGAGCCCGATGATTTATGACGTTCAATGTTAAGAAACTAAGAGTTATCTATCTTTGCATGTAAAACATTAAGCTGCACGAAATAACCAGGTTTATCCATATTGGATAAACCCCATTATTTCGTGACATTGGACCAAGACAATAACAGAAACAAACTTGATCAGATTAACCCCAGTAAAAGGTTTACGAAGTCTGAAAATACAGTCAATAAAAAGAAGACTTTATTTGTTTTGGCGTGCTTGTCATGGCCATTTAATAATAAATTAGATATAACACAATGTATGCGCCGATCATTATGATTATATGGCAGCATAGGTAAATGAATATAGATGATGAGCAAGAGAAATACCACCTTGATCCAAGGAGTCTGGAAAAAACAGTACCCCCCGGAGACAGCATTCTTTGCAAAATTATGCCAAATGGGTCAAGGGACAAAGTCACGTGACCCATCCGCCACAAACTAAAATTGGGGCGGCAATTTTGCGGCCCAAAGTAACAACAGCACAAATCGTGCACAAATTAGGTACAAATCGTACCAAAATATATGTATTAAGCCAAATGGGTCAAGGGACATAGTCGCATGACCCATCCGTCTCAAACTAAAATTGGCACCCAGATCAACAATAAAAGCACAAATCGTGCACAAATTAGGTACAAATCGCACCAAATAACCAAATTGGTAAGTGAAAGGCACAAATTGCGCCTTAAGATTGAAATTTGAAAATTAATGCAAATTGCATTGAAAATGATAAATGTGCAACTCGCACACAATGGGGCTCATGACAAGCATCGCAGAAATGTTCACAAAACAAAATTACACAATTGATATCATTTCTCAAAGTATAAATAAAACTGTTTCCCAAATCTGAAAAACTCCAGTATCTCCCTTGCAATGCGTCCTAATATGTGGATAACTGATTGATGCACCACGACCCTTAAACTTACTTTAAATGTAGCACATGCACTATTAATCCTATGTCTGCACTTCTGTCATTCTAAATTTGCAAGGCAATTTATCAATTATTTTGAGGCAAAATATGTGACCATATATGTAATAAAAGTTTGTGGGAATACTAAGTAAATGTCAAAGCAATATTTGAATTGCAAAGTTGTGTCATAATATAAAACATATATATAAACAGAAGGTAAATTTACAACAATGGTCTTATGTAAGATTTGCAGGCTGCTGACTGTAGGGTTTTATCAATTTATCGATACGTATCAATATACAAGAAACATATCGTATCGAAAATTTACTTCAAATACGTATCGGACAAGCATTTTATCTTCTAATTCTGTTAAAAAGATTGGAACTTCAATCACCAAAAATCATATTTCACTAATTAAATCTGTTAAATAATCATTCAATTTTTTAAGGCAATAACACAGTTTTTAGAATTATTACTAAAGCATAGACAATTTTAATTTAAAATGTTGATTTTACAGTCATTAAAAGTTTTGATTTGATAGTCATTAAAAGTTTTAATTTGAGGTGTAAGTTGTAATGACAATGAAACACTTAAGTACAGGTTCACGTAAGAATCATGCAAAATCGAAAAAATGTGATAAGTCACATGACACCGAATTAGTTCCTGGTGTTATTAAAATAAAATAAAGATTGAATAAGATCATCTCACAAAAAATTTCCCACTTTTGATGTCAAATAAAAAAAATACGAGCATTTGAAGTTTTGGGTTCAAGTCACCGTTTTCAATGAATTATATAGCACAAATATGTTTTCAAAACGCAACCTTCCCAAACTAATATAAAAACGTGATGCATATTTTTTTTCAGGTTTAGTGACAATCACATGTAGGCAAAATGATAGACCTGACAAATGCAAATTATTTGAGAAATCGAGACCTAAAATATCACTTCCTTCCTAAAAAAGTTATCCCCCTTTGATGTTTTCCCGGAAATCTCCAATCGGAAATCCTCGGATGTCTTCCAAACTAAACATGTAAAATTACTCGGAAGTAGACGCCATCGCGCATTTTTTGAACGACGCCAACATTTTCAATGCGGTGTCGAAAAGATGCAGTCTGCTATTTGTAAATTGATGGTAAGTTTTGTTTTAATTGAATATTATTGATTGAATTGAGTTTACTTAAGCATACACTGTGGGACCACCTGGATAGCCTTCAGTGGGTATTCCCTTCATTTGACCTTGACTATCTAGATCAGCTAGAGTGCGCGAAAAAACTTTCGAGGCCCTCAGGATCGCCCTCAACAACTTTGTTATTTAATAAGATCGACAGCGCTATCGTCGTATAAAAACTAGTGTTGGTGCTGCGACATATACAAATACAAATGCAGTTGATAATCTAGAATACTAGACCTAGAATATTATTTTAGAAAATTTTGAAACGGTAGACATGTAGCCCACATGCGTCGCTCCTGGAGTCCTGCACATATGTAAATTCTCAATACCAAAGAGCTTATGTATAGTGTTGACGAATTCTACAATCAGAGTCACCACTATTGAGTTTGTAGATAGGTTAAGATGTAGGTCCACCAAAATCTCTTGATCTAGTTATACAGTGTTTTCCACTGAGATAATTTAAGAAAAAGGAAATTTAAAAAAAAACCAAATGACTAGAAATAAATACCATATGCCTAGAACAAGTCATAAATAAAACTTATTTATTCATTATTCATTGGCGATTATTACATACTCAGAGGGGTTCAAGATTTATTTTTTGCCAAGTGGCAAAAGAGAGAGAAAGAAGGGGGATAAAACGTTTCCCGAGAATAAGTATTTGTACGTCTAACTTAAATATGTATTGAAAGAATAGATTCTCACACATTTAGTTTTTCCATTCACCTTCACTATTACTTTTTATGAGTGAATGGTAGAAAATATTCTACATATTTTTATATATCTAATCTTATATATGATATGTAACATGCGAGGTTAAATTTGATATTAGATTCGGACCGCGATCTTAAGGATATTCAAATTCTTTAAGAAAATTCATTAGCTTCGGAAATGCTGCAAATCCATTCAATTATAAGGCTTCAGTAGTTTTTTAAATGTGTTGATTTTTTTTAAACACTGGGGGTACCTTTTCAAAGAAAAAATCGTAGAACAAAGATATTATTTTCCACAATCTTATAGTTTTCCATACATGTGTGTGAATCTTTGCCTGAGAGTGTGTAAGGGGGGTGGGTGGGTGGGGGGGGGGGGTAGAGGGACACAACCCTGGAACCCCCCCCTTTAAAAAATTGCTGGATCCGCCCCTGTTATTAATATATTCGATCATTACATACTTTTAGTTCAAGATATATTACTGTAGTCAACCGCGACTCGCACAAATTGTTCAGATAAAATAGTTCCATCATTAATAAGCAGATATAACATAATTGTTCATGACAAGAATGTCTTCTATGATAATTTATCTACACAACCATATCTGACATACTTGTCTTTATTTTATTTTAATTTATCTCCGTCATCAGTTTCAAAACTGCTCGCCGAGTGGAAAGTGAAACTCAACCATAGAATGGTTTGTTATAATCTCGGTTAAAAGAAAAATTAGAGAATGTGTGGGTTTAAAAATTCAACTCCAGATTTTAAATATTGCATTGAATAAATAAAATGTCATAGTGTCTTATTTTTCATAAAAACACTACGATGATTTTTCTGTATAGTTTTAGAAACAGATTTTTAGCCAATCAAATTCGATGGCTAATTTTTGTTCGTCTTTTTCAAGTAAGCTACCTCGGACGCAAGCTTTATTGATGTCGTTAACTCGGCTAAATTGAATCCCCCCCCATCCCCCCACATAGCAGGTTTAATCATAAGAATCTCCCTGTTTAAATGCAGTAATACGTGTATTTCTGATTTTTAGCTCTACTGGTCAGAGACCAGATGAGCTTATGCGATAGACTGCGTCCGGCGTCCGGCCATCTGTCTGTAAATAATTTTTCAAAATGCTACTCCCCCTACTTAGCACACAAGTAGACTACATTAAGATATGTAATTCTGTATATGGGTTTTTGATTTCGATGAACAGTGTTGCCATTGTAACTAAGAATAGAAAATTCTGTGAAATTCTTTCAAAAAGCTACACATCTCCAACACTTTTGGTCTGATTTCAATATAACTTGGCACACAAGTAGACTACATTAAGATACACAATTCTCTTTATCGGTTTTTGATTTCAATGAATGGTTTTGCCGTGCTGACTAAAAAAAGAAATTTGCATGTGAAATTCTTTTAAAATGATACATATACTACAGTTTTGATCTGATTTCAATATAACTTGGCACACAAGCAGACTACACTAAGATACATAATTCTGTGTATCATTTTTTGATTGCAAGTACAAACCAGTAGAGCTTCAGTCTCGACAGAGACTTCTGGTTTTTCATTGTAAATTTATCAAGAAATCTTAATTTCTATTTCAGTCTACATGTAGATCTGCTTGCCATAGCTATTGAGTCCCAGTTACTGGATACATGTGTATATGTTGTATGTGTCGATTGCTGAATTTGCCACAGCTCATCAACTGGATATGAAGGGTTTGGACTAACAAGGCCACATATCAGGTATAACTATAAGAATCTCTCTGTTGTCATAGTAACTGTATAACATGTATTTCTGATTTTTTTCTTTATTGTAAATTTATCAAGAAATTCTTTCTATTTCAGTCTACACGTAGATCTGTTTGCCATAGCTATTGAGTCCCAGTTACTGGTGTTGATTGCTGAATTTGCCACAGCTCATCAACTGGATATGAAGTGTTTGGACTAACAAGGCCACATATCAGGTATAACTATAAGAATCTCCCTGTTGTCACAGTTACTGTATTACACGTATTTCTGATTTTTTGTAATTGTAAATTTATTGAGAAATTCTTTCTATTTCAGTCTACATGTAGGTCTGTTTGCCATAGCTATTGAGTCCCATTTACTAGATACATGTGTATGTGTTGATTGCTGAATTTGCCACAGCTCATCAACTGGATATGAAGGGTTTGGACTAACAAGGCCACATATCAGGTATAACTATAAGAATCTCCCTGTTGTCTTAGTTACTGTATTACACATATTTCTGAATTTTTTCTTTATTGTAAATTTATCAAGAAATTCTTTCTATTTCAGTCTACATGTAGGTCTGTTTGCCATAGCTATTGAGTCCCATTTACTAGATACATGTGTATGTGTTGATTGCTGAATTTGCCACAGCTATCAACTGGATATGAAGGGTTTGACTAACAAGGTATCAGGTATAACTAAAAACTCCCTAATGTCTTATTTACTGAAACACATATTTAAGAATTTTTCTTTATTGTAAATTTATCAAGAAATTCTTTCTATTTCAGGCTACATGTAGGTCTTTTTGCCATAGCTATTGAGTCCCAGTTACTGGATACATGTGTATATGTTGTATGTGTTGATTGCTGAATTTGCCACAGCTCATCAACTGGATATGAAGGGTTTGGACTAACAAGGCCACATATCAGGTATAACTATAAGAATCTCCCTGTTGTCATAGTAACTGTATAACATGTATTTCTGATTTTTTCTTTATTGTAAATTTATCAAAAGGAGAGGGGTTCTTACTATTTCCTTAAATTATCTAAACATGTTTGCCATACTATTGATCCCAGTTACTGTTGATTGCTGAATTTGCCAAAAAAAAATAATGTAAAAATATGTAAATTTTTACACAAGGCCAAATATGCATAATTACATATGTGTGTAAGCATAAGCAGCAATAAACTGTATTCAAAATTGCATTATATGATTTTTTTTATTTGTAAATTATGTAAACCATGTTATCAGGACATGAAGATCTGTTTAAAGCCAAGTTAGAGTCCCAGTTAGAGAGGTTCATTGCAGTTTGCCACGGCTCATCAACTGGATTGAAGGGTTTGGTTCTAACAAGGCCACATATCAGGTAAAACTATGAGAGAATCTTTGTTGATCATTTATTGGCTGTAAATAATGATTAGTGTGTCATTTCTGAATTTTTCATTGTTAAGAAATTCTTCTATTTTAGTGTTCATCTAGACCTGTTTGTCATAGTTGTGTATTTTGACATGTCTGATTGTTTTCATACATTATCTGCCTGTGAACAAATCGTAGGCAATGTCTCCGAATGTATTTTTTTAAACTGCTCACCTTAGCTCAAAATTTGAACATGAAAACCTAGTGAAACTGGAAGACTGACAGATGCCTGAGATCACATCTGCAGCTCTGTAAACTAAATGAAAAACTAACAGAAGGAGAATTTTGATTCCAGAAGAGCTGGGATATTTTGTGATTATGACCTTTATCAAAGTCACGTTTGCCCTTTTTTAGATATTTGATAAAATAAATGGAAATATAAACAAGTATTTCAAATATCTCACAATATTCATATTTATTTCTACAAGGGGATGGAAGAAAAATAGGGTAGTGAGGTGAACACAGTATCATATTGCATGTATTGGAAACAATTACTTTATTAGATAAATTTTGAGGTATCAAATCAAAAACTGTGCCTTAATGAATATTATTTATTGAAAACATTTTAAGACCTTTTTTTTCTTAAAAGTGATAATAATAATAATAATAATACATGCATCTCTGTCTCATACTTTCTTCAAAAGATGGATCTACTGTGCAAAAGACATGAACATGTGTATGTACACTTTCAGATACAGTAAAGGTTTGCAGTGGAAACCCGGAAGAGTGTGTCTGCATCCTGACCACCCTGAACATTCAAAGGCAAAGCCTCAGCATGGTCTTTCTTCCTTCTATGCATTTGAAATTTAAGAGTTATGGATGTTTACTCCCACTTGGAACAGGTCAATACTCTTTTTAACACATGTTTTAGGCTATGGAGAATTATTATCACCCCAATATCAAAAGGAGAGGGGTTATACTGTTTTAGCCTTGAAATTTATCTAAACATGATCAATACCATGATAAGAAAGATACATGTTCATAGAGAATTTAAAAAAAAAAAAAATGTAAAAATATGTAAATTTTTACACATGCAAATATGCATAATTACATATGTGTGTAAGCACTAAGCAGCAAGTAAACCTATTCAAAAGTCCATTATATTATTAATTTCTTATTTGTAGGATTATGTAAACCATGTTATCAGGACATGAAGATGAAGTTTAAAGACCAAGAGACTGCGCAAGTCAGAGAGGTAATTCAAGCAGTCTTAACTAAGGCTATCTAAATTTAATTCTGTGGTTCTCAGGCCAATTTTCGCAAAAAGCCGAAATGGCCGACCCAAGTTTTACATAGGGATATCAGGGGCTGACAAATAGATTTTCAGGCACTTGCCCACGGGCAAGTGCATGGTCAAATTTCACTTGCCCTACTTCAATTTTTACTTGCCCAACCAGCACTTTATATTCATCATGATCATTAATTTGTCTCCAAATTAAAAAAAGATTTCAGCCTAGGATTGTTATTTTGAATATTGGCGACATTTAAAACCATCTGCCATTAAGTACTACGTTAAAATCTGTTAATTGATTGTATGCTTTTTCCAGAATAATACATGTACTTTCTTTTATAAACACAAGAGACGTAAAATTGCTATCATATTTCAGCTATAGTCATGATATCTGCTATTTGTTTAAATAAGTTTCAGGCCTTTTTTTCTTCTTATCTCATACCTCGTATGCTTTGACAGTTTTGTACTGAGTTTTTCACTAACATTCTTATGGACGATGTCGATCGTTTTCTGCCTCATAACTGTCAAAACTTTCTTCATTTCTCCAATGCCAATTTGTCACTTTCAATTAAGTGCAAATACATGTACTTAAAACTTTCGGTAAAATTGCATAATGATGACACAATTAAACTGGTTCGCATACGAAGTGTGACAAACAAAGGAAGATAACTCTTACAACAAAATAATTTTAATTTCACGGAAAACTATGACATTTTTAAAAATATTAATTTATTGATTATTTTTAAGCTACTTGCCCACGGGCAAATGCCTATTAAAAATTCACTTGCCCGCCTCCAAAATTCACTAGCCCCAGGCGTCGGGCAATGGGATTTGTCAGAGCCTGGATATATAGGGAAACCTTTTAAAATCTTCTTTTCAAGTACTTCAAAGCTATGCTTAGTGATATTTATATGGAATCATCCTCAGGTAGTGTAGATCCTAGTTTGTTCAAATCCTAAGTAAAAATTCAAGCCGGATGTGCACAGGTAAGCGCTGTTTTGGGCCTCATGTGTTGATTTGCAATGTGCAGTATTTTTCACCAAATTCCAGTATTTTGAAGACTGCTGTACCGTATTTTGGTCTAGAAATTATCACATGTATGTAATCAATAAATGTTTTGTTATACCTTTCATTTCAATTCTTTTTTTGACACATGTATTTTGTACTGTCTTCCTTGATGTTACAGTGTTAACATCAACAAATGAAAATGAGATTATGCTTTGACAGTTCTGTGGCATAAGCAGTCCAACATTTCCTCAACTAGTCGAATATGTCACTCAGCGGTCAAACATTGATTTATTTATGCCCGCTCAGCAAAACATCAGAAACTTTTTTATATAGATTTATATAGGAACAAATTTTTAAAGGTATAACAATGCTAGATATAACTCCTATTTAAGTTCCATATCATGAACATTTTACATGATTGTGCCTTTATATACATGTACGTTTAAATATTCCAATTTAAAAGTCATGATTGGGATTTTTAAGTCATATCTAACAAATTCTTTTAGTGTCAAGTGGAATTTAATGAGTAGTATAGTTATACATTTTCTATAAACCTTACACGTATACATTTTACCTGTTTGCATAATTGCACTGATTTAATTTTTTTAAACAAGGATTTGGGCACATTTAATTTATGTGCATATATTTATGTTTTAGGTATTTCCATAGCAGAATACTGCTTATTTGAGCCACAGGCAGGGAAACCAAATGTGATTCCAAAATAGCGCACATAGAATGAAAATGAAGAGCTATGCAGCAAGTGGGCAAACATTCTTAACTGCATCAGACATCAAAACATGCACTTGATTGATGAAACGTGTGCTGGCTCATTACAAAGATTTTTATACTGAACACAAATTGTTATATAGCAGAATTTGAAAATCCTTGTTTAAAGTAAAGCGTCTATAATTAGAATCCAATGTGAATCATAATTCACTGACAATGCTACTGGTCAATGAATGTGCATTGACCTTATATAAAGTTTCTAGATCAAGGATCAATTTTCAAAACCCCAAAACCTTCGGCGTTGTCATAAAAATTTAAGCTGTTTCTTGAGTGTCTCTTTGTTATATAATAAATATGACTTATTAACAATCGCAGATTTAATGGTTTTGATCAAACTTTATACTTGATTTCAAGTTAACTGGCTTGGACATGTGTCTCCATCCATTCGATCAATCCATTCTTTTCCCATTTTTCCCAACAGTCGAAATACCTCAAACTTTTTATCATCAATCTTCAAATTTAATTTGTTTCTGTGCCTTTTTCAGCTTTGATTATTAATTTTCAGGAAAACAAATATTCCCAGACAACAATCCATTCACTGTTACTGATTACAAGGAACCTTTCAAAAAATATGTCCCCTCTAAATGGATTCCTTTCCTTGATGAATTCAACGTAACCGCCTTTCAAGCTGATTTGCACCTTGCGTAATTTATCAAAATCTGTGACGAACAGCTAGTACAATGATTTGTATTTGAAAATATTCAATTGTCTGTCTCAAATGTATATATACTTGTTAGAAATAAAGAACAAGTTTAAAAATTTCAAAGGGAAATAAAGTGGGTCGGTACGTGATCAAATCTTCTGAGAAGGCCTATCAGTATTCAGAGGATTTGATCACGTGACCGACCCAATTTACCTCTCAATGGCTCTCATTGAAATTTTTAAAACTTTTTGTATATTTCTTAAATAAATTATTGCAAGTCAGTTTTCAATTTGTTAGAAAACCAATGAAATTCCAAGTCTCATGCAGTTGGTGATCAGGCCATCCTTAAAAATTTGTTTGTTTGGAATTGCCGCCTGAAGGGTTTCAGACACAGGAGGGAGGGAGGGAAATTATTTTATTTTTTTTAATTGAAGATAAATTTAAAATTTTTAATAAAAATCTTAGTAAAAAGTACATACATTTTCTGACTTTTAAAAAAGGTATCTACCATCAACAAAAACTCCTAATTTTACATAGATCTGACA